AAGAAAACCTAAGGTTCATGTGGGATACCATCAAAAGGAGTAACTTACATGTCATTGGAATTCCAGAACAGGAAGAGAAAAACAAAACCACTGAGAAAACTGTCCAAGATTTGCTGGAGGAGAACTTCCCTGATATGACAAAAGATGAGAATATATCCATTCAGGAAGTCCAATGAACGGCAAACAGGATAGACCCCAAAAGGAAATCACCAAGACTAACCATCATCAAAGAAACTCATCAAAACCAAAGACAAAGACAGAATCCTGAAAGCAGCATGGGAAAAACAAAAAGTTACCTAGAGAGGACAGCCAGTAAGAATAAGCTCTCATTTCTCAGCAGGAACCATGCAAGCGAGAAGGCAATGAGATGGTATATATAAAACCCGGAAAGAGAAAAATTTTCAACCAAGAATTATATACCTGGCAAAATTGTCCCTCAAATATGATGGGGAAAGAGATTTCCAGATAACCAGACACAAAGGGAATTTGTTAAAACCAGACCAACATTACAAGTGATGCTAAAGGGAGAACTTTGAATAGAGAACCAAAAATAGCAAATAACAACCATTAATACACAAGATGACATAACCCAGAAACCACAGCCATGGACATATCCAGTGTAAAATGAACTTACAAGATTGTAAACAGGGAACCAGAGACATCAATTGGCAAGTGAGGACAACTACAAACAAAAAGAGGGAAAAGACATTGTAGTTAAAGAACTTCTAAATGGTGATGAAGTTAAGAGAGTTGAAAGATAGACTAGACTGTTCTAAACTTGGGGATAAAATTATAAATCATGGGGTAACCTCAAAGAAAAATGATAAACCTTCACATCACAATAAAAAAGAGGACAAGCACAAATATTCAACATATACTAAAACAACAGCAACAAAGGAAATGATAACATGACTCATAAACATAATGAGCTCAGCACAGAAAATAATATGGAACAAAGAAACCAAGGACAACATGAAAAAACACACAACAAAATGACAGCAACCAATTCATATTTGTTAATAATTACCCTGAATGTTAATGGATTGAATGCACCACTCAAGAGATGGAGAGTTGCAGATTAGATAAGAAAATAAAAACCATCAATATGCTGCCTACAAGGGACACACTTTAGAGATAGAGACAACAATAGATTAAAAATCAAAGGCTGGAAAAAGATATATCATGCAAATGGAAACTGTAAGAGAGCACTAATGACTAGATGACCGTTTAGTGGCTTGATAAAATATTTATCTTAACAGTGACTCTAGCTAGGGTCATTTTTCTATTTCTCATTTATTAAAATGATAAAATGCTGGAAACTATACAGAAAAAATTATTTTTAAAATGATTCGTAACAAATACAAATTAATTGCAGTCTTAGAGGCAAAATGCTAAGCTGCCAATATATGGCTCAGCTATTTGAAAAGATGTACCTAACCTGAAAGGAAGGTTGGGCAATCTACTTCCATAGTGAAGTACTGCCTCAGAAACTCAAGGAGGGGGTCGCTATGAGTCAGATCCAGCTCCATGGCAGTGGTTACATTATTATTTATTTACTTATTTTTGCATCTAAAACTTTTACAAGAAGCTCTGGTAGCATTGTGCCTAAGGCACTTGACTGCTAACCAGAAGGCTAGTGGTTCAAACCCACCAGCCACTCCTCAGAAGGAAGGCTGGGCATCTACTTCGTAGTGATACTGCCTCGGAAACCCAATGAGGGGTCACTATGGGTCGGGTCTGACTTGATGGCAAATAACAACAACAACAAAACTTTTACATTCAGTAGATTTTCCCTATAAATGGTAGCTTCTTTGCTTATTTAAACTAGCAATGTTTGATGTATATAAAGACCTTACCTGAACATTTATCCTCTAGATGTGTTGCCAAGTCTGATATCTTCACCAGAGATGGTGCTTTTTTTTGATATTTTCCTTTAAATTTAATTGCCCGTATATCATCATCAAACAAGCACTCACAGGATGACCAAGGTGTTGTATGCAATTCCAGATTTTCTAACATGAAATTGTGCTGAACAAGAAGATATTTAAATTCCCAGATATAATCTTAAACAAACAAATACAAAAAAAAAAGGTCACCAAAAAGAATATAGTCTAAACTCAGAATCAGATTAAACAGAGTATTCCAAGTGAATCAGATAAATTCAATTTTATCTTTAAGGAATTTGGATATAAATGGAAAAAATATGAATGTTACATTATGGTAACAAGATAAGGATGCTAGAGAAAATTTCAGTGACAAATTTCTTTAAAAGACTTGTTCATCTCCTACACAGTTTATACAGGCAGTCCCCTGGTTACAAGTATGATCCATTTCTAAGTAAGTCTTTAAGTTGTATTTGTAGGTAAGTCAGAACAGATGCATACAGTTCTTATGTAGCCCAACTTCAGTGCAAGAAAACACTGAACACTTTTCAGTAATTTAAAGTTACAAGTACAGCAAGTAAAGGTGACTGTGATGAGGAATTTGTTGCTAATGTGAGTTGATTCAATCATTTCAGAGTTAGAGAAATTTACATAATACTAAAGAGCAATTTAAAGCTGTCTGAGTTGGATATTCTTACTGTAATTTATTATTTTGATATCTACAGGCAAAGATTTAAAAAAAAAAAAAAAAACAGTAAGGAGAATGAAATGTACATAGGTCTGCCAGAACAAGTATTTTCTTGATATTTCAGTATCAGTTATCTCATTTAGCTAACTTTTTCAGAAAACAAAAAAAAACATTTAGGTAGAGTCAAAACTATTTTTAATTATCTCAATAATATTGAAATTCTTAAAACTACTGTAGCACAGGCTTTCACATCAAATAACCATATCCTACATTAAAAACTCAACTTTAAAACCATAATGAAACAAAAGGAAGTTTCTTGCCACTAATTTTTCAGATAACAGCTGTCTTTTTAGCTTCTCATTTACTTCAGGTCATAAGTCTAATTCACACCTCCTACCCATCTCAGAGTTTCTTTGATTAAACAGTTGTTTTTTTTGTAGACAATCTTAAGCCAGTAAATCCACACAGAAAAAGCATCATTAAAGAACTAAAACATATATTCCAAGTTGCTACATAAAACCATTCACTAGTTTTGAAAATGACTTTCTTATTACAAAATACAAGGTTAAAAATCACAGACAAACTAAGTAAATAAATAGCACCTAAACTTCCATTAGGAGCTCTGGTAGCATAGTGCCTAAGGCACTTGACTGCTAACCAGAAGGCTGGCGGTTCAAACCCACCAGCCACTCCTCGGAAGGAAGGTTGGGCAATCCTACTTCTGTAGCGATACTGCCTTGGAAACCCAAGGAGGGGTCGCTATGAGTTGAGGCCGACTCCATGGCACATAACAACAACAACAACAAACTTCCATTGCCCCTAAATAAACAATTTTTACCATTTCAATGAATATCCACTTTTGTTTTTTAATTCATTTGATTTTCATTTAATATATCAAATCTATCCACCACTCATCTGTAAGCCTGTCATACTGTGGTGGCTTATGTGTTGCTATGGGGCTGAAGGCTATGCCACCAGTATTTCAAATACCAGCAGGGTCACCCATGGTGGACAGCTTTCAGTGGAGCTTCCAAACTAAGACAGATTCAGAAGAAGGAAGGGGCCATCCACTTCTCAAAGAATTGGCCAGTGAAAACCTTACGAATAGCAGGGAAACACTGTCTGATGTATTACTGGAAAACTTGAAATAGGTGAGCCTAAATAAATGTATGTTAAATGAGTGAAGGAATGAATGAACAAAGAAAAACTATACCTTAATTCTTGGATTCCTAAGTGTCCAATATTAAGCTGAATACCAAAGAATGATCTGGAGACAACTACAATTTCTCTTCTAGTAACTAAGTAACTACTAATCCTAAAAGAACATTCATATTAGTCGTGGAACAGTAATCTGCTTTGCTATAGTTCCACCATAATGACAGTAATACCTTTGACCTACATTTTGTTCAACATGCAATAGACTCATGTTACTACCTATAATACAGTGATCAATGATCATGGTTAGTCTATCAGTGGCTCATGTTTGTCAGATTTCTCAACCAAATAAACATCTGTCACTGTTTGAGCCTAACATAAAAGCCAAAAATCAGACTTATCTCAAACCCTAGTTATGGGCTATTAATGATTAAGAGAATCAACATGACAGATTCTACCTTTAGATGACACTGTAAAAAGAAGTTTGAGAAGAGGCATTAACTCTTTCACATGAAAAATAATGGCTCACACAATTAATCTGAATTAATTTAGCAGGGTAAAATAATTCATAAATCGTTAATTAAACTATCTCTGATTGTTACATCTAAGAATCTTACAATATCAAAAGGAAGTATTACACTATTTTTATTGAAACAACAATTACATTTAATCAATATACTGTAACAATTTATGCTTTAAAGTAAAATCATCATGGTGGTATTTTAAATACAAACATTCTATGGCTGGCTAGCAATCTACCCTTTTAAAATAACTGGGTGGTGAGGAGGACAAAACAAAACAATAACCTAGAGCACAGTAATTTATTAAACACTAATGTAGCGACTTGAAAGAGTTAATGTAACTCCCCTAATACCAGCTTATAACCAGAGAGAAGTTTATTGGTCAGAATACTTTGACTGAATAAAAACTGCAGAAGCCATCTCCAGACTTAAATTTTAAGGAACGTTGTTTAAAGGATATAAGATCTTTACCAAAAAAGTAAGTATACATGAGGGTAGATGGAAACTTTCATTTTTCCACCTTTAACTACGGAGGACTTTTTAGATCACGGAATTGCTTACAGAAGATACAAAATTATAACAGAAGATATTTGCTTATTGAATATTTGATCATGATCACTTATATTTCAAATGTAGTGTAATCTGTTAAGAACTTCTTCCTCTTAGGCTGATAAGCATTAATCATTTACCTAAATATAGATAATAGGTTAAACTTTTTTTGTTGTATTTACTTTTTTTCCTTTGAAGTTGAGGGTACCAGGCTGCTCCTGGACCCCATAAAACAAGCACATAATGTTGACCTTGGGCCTGTTCCACCGTTAACATAACTTTCCTTTGCTTCTGTCCTCTATAATTGTATAATGCTTCTGGAAAAGGAAAAGAAATATTTAAATTGCCATTAATCTATCACGTAATATTATACTTTAGTATCTCATGATAAGTATATACTGTTAAATAAATGGTACAATAAAATAGTCTTGTATCTTAATTATTTTATATTTTAAAATTAAGAAGGTAATCAAAATGTTTACCTGTCAATACAGTGATATCAATAACTCTTACTACTGCATGGACTAATATTTCAGGCTGAAGGTGCTTCAGTTCTACAAACTCTATACTGTTCACTTTTTGACGCTGCCTCTGAGGAAGATCTTTGAGACCAGAATGTTTTGAAGACACATGTGCCAGTAAGTCTTGAAGCACAACAGCACTAACGATACTGGAATCTAAGAAAGAGAAACACACACATACACAAAGCATGGCAACACTATACTTTCTTGATAACATAGTATTTTCTTAGAACTGTACTTTATGCTATAAAGAGTCATTAAATATAAAACATGATTTTACATCTATAAAACATGTAACTTATTCTTGAATCAGTTTAATCAAAAAATAAAACTTGGTATTTATAACAATGGAAATGGAATTATTTACAATCTCTTAAAAACCTTACTTCTCTATTTGTTAATATCATTTTTCTACCAATTAACCAAGCAAAAAATTTGTTTTTCAACTCCTCTATCAGCCAAATATATCCAATTAGTTCCCAATCCCTAATTTGATCATGTCTTCTTCAACTATCCCAATCACTGCCATTCTTCTTCAAGATCCTTAAGCATTTCACATTTGACACACTATACTAGCCTCCTAGCTGGCCCTCACAGTTATCCACATACATGTCTTATTCCTTCTCATTTCTCAGGCTCTGCCCTCACCACGTTCACTACTTACAATGCCATCATCCTTCCTTCTCTTATCCAAATACTACATAGAATAATAACCACTATAGACCTACAGTGATTTCTCTTTCCCCTAACTCAGAGAGTATTTTACCTGTAAGTCTCATGTGGCAATTGAGCACGTGCAATATTTCTTTTGATTTTTAGATCAGTTATTTAACTTTTCAGAGATTATTTCATTTAGATGTTTTTCTCTGTCTCAATTTTTTTTTTTTTCTAATTCCTTACTGAGGTATACTATACATATAATAAAATACACATATTTTAAATGTTCATTTTGATGAATTTTGCTGATTAAACTTTAACTTCATTAAAGGAAAGGGAGGTACATGGATGAGCGTATGACTGACTGATGACCAAAATAAGATCTTGCCACAAAACATGTACTTTTTAAAAGGTAAAGTCTATTAACTGATTTCAGTGAAAAAACCCAAATGATTCTTCTTTTTCCCATTAACATGCTCACCCTCATGTACTCATAATGCCACACTAACATTTCATTTTTCATGTACTCATTTCATAAATATTTACTGATCATGTACTATGTGCCAGACATTATATCAGGTACTAGGAATACAAAGACAAATTATGTCATGATCCCAACACTGAATGAATTAACAATTTAGAGACAAACAATAACAAACAGTGTGCTTAGGATATAAGAAATACATGCAAGCATTCCTAAAAATACACAGAAAAAGAACTGCCTAAGGATGTTGGAAAAGGTTTTATTGAGGGCATATTAAAGGTGGATTGTGGGAAAATGTCCAGGCATTTTCTGGGTACCAAATGAGGAGGGCAGAAGTATAATTCCAGGGTTCCGGCAAGATGGCACACAAGGCAGAAACACTGCACAGACCCTCTTCAACAAACAAAAGGAAAACCAATTAACACAGACACAGAAGATAATCCTGGACAACTGAGCCTTGAAGAGAAAGATATAGAAGTGGGCTAAACCCCAACTAGCTGTAGAATTTGTGTGAAAATACCAAAAAAGGAGACATACAGAGCTGCAGTATGGCAGTGATCCTGATGGCACAGACAGCTTGCAGATACCCAAGTGCTGGTAGGATTTAAGAATTAACCTAAAAATCACCCTGCTACCCAGGGACTGCATGGAGGACTGTGCATGGTGGCTGGGGAAAAATACGGAGAAGGTACAGAAAGGTGGGCTGAACTGTGGACTTTTGCGGGCTGGAGGGAGCCACCATTTTGAAGGTTTAAAAAGAGTCTTGAATATTTTGGATATTTAAAGAGACAGAGCTCTTGCAGATTCCTGGGGCCTAAGAACACGCTCTGCATTCCAGCAAACCCAAGGACACTCGGGACCTCCAAGACTGAAAAGTTTTATGATGGTTACTCAATTGTCATTTGTGTCTAACTGAGTGGGAGACAACAATAGTCCCCATAAGACACAACTACACCCACACCTCCTGCAACTACACTTACTGAGCGAGAGCTACTGCCTCCTTCTCCACCAACAGGCCAATGATAAAAAACCACCAAGAAGAGCCTGAATCACCCTTGGCTGCTCTTCACAAACAGTTAACAGAGATCTAA